TTGTGTTTTGTTTGTTTGTTTGTTTGTTTGTTTGTTTGTTTGTTTGTTTGTTTGTTTGTTTGTTTGTTTGTTTGTGCATGGGCAGCACAGAATTAATGAGGTTAGCAGGAAATTGCTGCTGCTATTTTAGCTGCAACAAAGACAAGCTTGTTATGTTAATAAGTATATTCTATATTAGATGCTCAGATGTGATGGGCTGGTAATTAACTTTTTACCCTGTTCAAGCTGGGATAAAGTAGTTATGAAAGTGGATGGATGGATTAATTTGGGATTAATTTAGTTTGGGTACAGGGTGAGCAATCTGAGCAGTGAAGCCCACACATTTCTTTACCCCAACCACCACTGAGACATTCTCAAGAGACATAATCTCTCCAGCGAGTCCTGGGTCTGCCCCTGGGCCTCCTCCCAGTTGGACATGCCCAGAATACTTCACAGAAGAGGTTTCCAGGAGGCATCCTTGTCCGATACCTGGACCATCTCAACTTTCTATGCGAAGAAACAACGGCTCTACTTTGAGTCCCTCTTGCATGACTGAGCTCTTCACCCTATCTCTAAGAGCCACTCTTTGAAGGAAAATAATTCTGCTGATTGTATCTGTGATATCTAATGAGCTTGGAAAGAAAGTGATTAGATTTCTTTAACGTTTTTTTTTTTAAGGTTTCAGCTCTCATCTGAGAAGCTTCTTCGGGTAAAAAGCAAATGGTAAAGAGTCCCAGGTATTTAATCCCTAGTGGGAGTTGTTAAGAGTGTCGTTGACCCACTATTGATCATGTGCCTCATCACATGCTCCAAGGTGTGAAAAAGGTTTTGGGCGAAACCATTGTGAGACTTTGCCTCGCCCCATTATGTGACCCATTGAGATCATCTGATGCAAGATGTGAGTGGGGTTGAGGCACCTCGGAAGGGATCTCAAAACTGCATTGTAGGTGCCAGAGAGTTAGTGTCAAAAGACACCCCCTCTGTTCAAAGATGCTTGTTCACAGTGGGCATAGATGGTCTCTTTCACTCCTCTTTCCAGCCATCTGTCTACTCTATAGTGTATAAAAGCCTATTTCTTCTTAAAAGGTGCACAATTGCAGAGGTGGGAAGCAATGAAGCAAAAATCCTGTGTTACTGTACTTAAGTAGAATTTTCCATTATCTTTACTTTCCTTGAGTATTTAGTTTTCTGGAAACTTTTTACTTTTACTTTTTACATTTATTTTCTTACAAATATCTCTACTTCCTACTGCTTACATTTTCAAAACAGGGTAGTTACTTTTGGTTTAAGAGATTTGAGGAGTTATTATTTCACGTTACTGTATACCTTCAATCCTGAATGTTTTTGATTCAATCACCATGGCTTATCATGAAAAAGGCAAGTGAAAAAGACAAAATCATGTAATTTATGCATGATTTACTGCACCATATTCAGTTGTTCTTACTTCAGCATCTAGCTACCCCTACAGAGAGAAATGAGCACAAAGAGTGACATTTTGTTTTTGTTTAAAAGTGGTAGGTAATTTCAAATGTAGCGTTTCTATCAGCTCAACAAACATCAGCAAACACACAAACTGTTTCTGTGAAGCTTAGGGCACACTCTGTATGCTAGTTAAAGGTACAATTGCGATATTTCCCAACAGGAGAAAAGAATGAGAGCTCACGTCACTCAAAGATGGAGCAAGATGTATGAAAGACAGGAAAGGAGAGGAAGACAGAGTTCTATTTAAAGGTAAGAACAGCTAGTTATGGAGCAAGAGACATTGGAAAAGAGAAAAAAAAGTACTTTTGTGAAATCTGAAATGCAATTTTTTATTTTTATTTTTTAAATTGAGATCCCAAGAGAGACTCCCCCCGCCCCCCTGTATTTATTGAACTTCCATTGGTATCTGTGAAGCTGTACAAAACAGTGCAGCTAGATGTTACAGTTTTTCTCGATTGCTTAAACAAATTTTTTGAAACTATGCCTCGTATTCTCAAAACACAAATCCATAACGTCTCACCCAATTTCCCAAACATTGTATTTTGAGGTCAAAATGAAGCTCTACACCCAAAACCATACCCTATGGTTTTGGTTCTGCCTGGGAGGCTATGAAGACAGAAAGATGTTAGAAAACCTCATGAACCAGAGCAGCGCGATGGAAGCTAACATTATCCCAAACAACAACGTAGTGAGGGTGCTCTGGCTGTGCTGGTTCCCTGTAGTCCAACTGGAACATATTTTGTCTTAGACCATCAAGAAAAGTAAGGAGAAGCATGGTGTTATAGGGTCCTAGAATGGCATGGCGGTGGAGTATCCCTCCATGGCTGATGGCTGCACACAGAGTGACATTCCCTCTACGCTGACCAGGGACATTTACAGTTGCCCGATGGTCAATTATGTTCCTCCACCTCTACCTCGTCCACCTCCTCCTCACTGGTGTCCTAGACTGCCTTCTCCTCCTCCTCCTCCTCCTTGACCTTTTCCTTTGCTTGTTTTTGGATCCATTGTTTCATCCTAAATGAGCTGACTTTGGCCATTTTGTCTATCCATCAAAGTTTCTGATTGGTCTGTGATACAGTTTGACTCCTAGTGTTTCCACTATTGAGCTAAAGCTGTGCTGATGTGAGAACATTATTGACTGCTAGTGCTTTCTAAGTGACCACATGGTGTCAGCACTGACAAATGTAGGGATTTTTGAGTAGAGTTTTGCAGTAACAGTTCACCACATCTGACTCATGTGGTAAAGCAGGGGCATAGTGTTTACAGTTCAGTGTTTACAGTCGGTGTCCGTTTTGGAAAGTGTCATTATGGTTATTAAATTTGGGTTCACGAGACTGGTTATAGTGTTTAAGCAATCGAGAAAAACTGTAAGATCTTTCTCCTACTTATGAATAGCACTCAGTGTGCTGCTATGTTGCATATAGTAAGAATAAAAGGAGGCAGAAATAAAATGAGTTCTGTCTTTTCGCTAATATAATTTTATTACATTAATATAGCACAAGGTTCAGTTTGCTTTGGACAAAAATAGCTGGTAGAAACATCTTATAAAGAGTTATCTTTGTTTACTTTCTTACTTTAAGTTTATTTCAGAGCCTTTACCTATACGTATACTCCACTTTTGCTTCAGTGTAAAAGTTGAAACAGTACTTCAACTTTTACAAGATTTTTTTTAAACCCACTTAATTACAGAATGTCTGCATTTTAGCCACCTCGCCACACGTGTAAGGAAAATCTATTTGTGTGTTGAGCAGCAGAGTTGAGTTGAGTATGTGGTTTGCGCCAATAAAAGACTCACCAAATCTTCTCTACTTCTGTCAAACAGCTTATTCTCCTATTAATGCTTGTTTGGTGTTGGTTATTGGATCAGATTATTGATGTCTGAAAAATAAACAAGACATATTGGTAATTTATCAATTTATTAATATAACTAACAGGAGCCTCAGTCCTCCAAGATGACAATGCTCGTCCCTGTAGAGTGGGGTTTCCAACAATATAAACAGGGGTGCACATAAGTGGTCCGCAGGTACGCATTCGCTGTCAAAATAAAAGACGCGCACCAGATAAGAAGTTGCAATGCGTGTTTGTGTACATAAGATTTTCTGGAGGAGGACAGACATTTGTTTAGAACTCTTAAAGATGTCGAAGAAGCAAGCTCCTGTAAGCAGTTACTTTGGCGTTCCTCCACCTCCAAAGAAATGTCAGAAGGAGTCCGAACCGCAAAAGAAGCACGAATTCTCGGAAAAGTGGTTGCAGGAGGTGAGCCGGCTTCAAACAAAGGATGAACGCACAGATTTATGATTACATACTCTCTCCATTCCATCCGAAGTTGAATAGACTTTTTATTTGACTTTTATTCTTGAGTAGAAATAAAATGAAACAGCACAGGATTCTGTTACCTTTGGGATCAGACCAGTTCAATCAGTTAGAAAAACAGATTTAATTTGCTGGGCGAGGTTGTTGTCAAAGAAGATACTAAAGAGAAGTACTTGTGTAAGATAAACTACCTTAACCACTGTACGTAGATCTCAAAGAAATTCCTGAAATTGTCAATTATCTCTGAGTTGCTTTAGCTTAATTGTGCAAAACTCTTGAGCCAGCCCTAATTTCTTTACACTGTATATTAATAGGAAAATGGGGGAAAATCTGATTTTAGTGAAACATTTTAAACATTTTACCAGTTAATTTTAGTTTTCAAATTTCAATATCTATCTATTAATTCCATGCAATTTCCTCTAGTTAGGGCAATGTGTACACCCTGCATGCACAGATAGTGACATAAATCTCTTTTAGGCCTGCTGATTCCCACACTGACTTGAAATTTATCTCTTTTTGTTGCAGGTAGAAGAACTGTAAAGGCATTACTGCCATCCTGTGACTTCTTTATGCTATGACGCAAGTACTGTGTGTACCATGTGTTGGGAGCGAAGCTTTGACCTTCTCGTTTTCTTTCTCCTGTTGCAACATAATCTAAATATCTCAACCCGCAGTGCATTCCACTTGCCAGAAGAGAGCACTGCTCCTGAGTAGATGCTCCTGATCTGATGGAGAGAGTTTGATAATCGGCCAGATACAGTTAAGAAAAACTGTTGTGACATGGCAAGAAAGGCACATGTATAAGGATTGCAAGAGCATAGTTATTGTGACATGTCCTCTGCTCTACATGGTCCCACTTCCCGCTAATAAACTGTATAAAGTCATTGTCATCACAGGAACCCATTGGTCCACAGGCCACTGAATTGCATTAATGTTGAAATGGTGATTTGTAAATATGTTTAAAAGTAGTTATATGAACTTGGTTTTGAAGTTCTTGTAGCCAGAACAGCATCAGCTGTTATTGTCCTATAAATGAATTAAAGTAAATTGTGCTCTCAAATATTAATGCAATCACCGTATATACAATTTAGTCTCATGGGAATTTTGTTACTTGGTAGATTTGTTTTTGGCTTGTTTTCAGCAGTATGATGAATAGCCACAGGAGTTTCCTGTTGCTGTTGCACTATACTGAACCACAAGCTGAACAGCCTTTAAAAGATTGCTATCGCACTATTGATAAGCAACTCTACACATTTTTAAAATCTGTTAGTGTAAAAACTACGCTATACACCCTGTGAGTGGACCAGCCAATTCAATATATGACATTTATAAATCATGAACAGTTTTTTGGGTTTTTTTTTATTTATTTAATGAGGGTAGAATTGTCTGATATGTAAGGTTTTAGCTTAATGTTAAAAATTAGCAGTGTTTGGTTTCACGTGTCCTATATATTAATACTACCAAACCACAGTTCTGAACTGGTTATGAACTGTTTGAATACACTGACAAGTGACACATAGATCATACTACTTTTTCCATGCTGCCACACAGGTCTTTACAGCCATGGTGACAATGTTTGTGTGCCATAATATGCAACTCAGGAGGAAATCCTTTTCACTGTTTCTCTGTCAAAACTTCCTTCCATGTGCACAGGATGTACAGATTTTGTTTAATTTTAAATTTATTTTATTTTTTTACCAATTTCTCATTTTATTAGTCTTTGTTTTACGCAACTGATTTTGTTGTTATTGTCACACAAAAAAACTATCAGATATCTTTAACAAAAACCCAACATTTACAAGAACAGAGTGTAAAAATGTTATTAGTGGCTTAGCCTTTGCACTGGTACAATATGTCTACTATGAATAGCAATGGTAAAATTCTTTGCCTTTTGTCTGTCATCACCGGGCGTGTTCTGGCTGTCTAAAGACCAGTGAGTCAGACGCACAAGGACAGGCCATGAGGAAGTTAACTGCTTCCTCTCTCTCACTACCAGACATGTTTTGAAGGAAGAAAGTTTGTGGTCAACAAAAAAAAAAAAAAACCCCAAAAAACAAGAACAACAGAAATTCTTTTAGAAATATTTCCATTTCCCACCACCTTAACAAGCATTGAATAGATGTTCTTAGTGATTTTTTAAATTTTTCTTTGAAGTTTGAAGTTGAAGTTCTTCCACACCTTAAAAGCAGTGAACTGAATGACTGAATGGAAAAACAAAAGGTGCAGAAAAGATATTTATGCTCTCCACTATGCAGTTGCCATCACACTTCACATCCTGTAGTTGTGCGCGTTCAAATTCAAAGTATCCTAAAGGGCGGTGGTGATTTAAAGGTGTTAAAACCACAGGATAACTGTTGCTATAAGCTGTAAGTATACCGAATTTGAAGCTCTAATTTGAGCATAGCAATAGCATTTTGTCTTAAAGTTAATTGATGCCTTCAGAAAACCTGCTCATTTAAAAGCACAGGTATGTAAAATCATTTTTTCTTTTTTCTCTGCAATATATCAAAGCATAACCACATAATACAGTGAAACCAGTCTCTGATCTCTTACTCCAAAGCATGTTTGCGAATACCACATTGCTTATATTTGCCTGCAGGGATTCTTTACTATATTTGTGTCGTCTCAGATCTGTGTGGTTCGTCAACTTTGAAAGTGAGCCTGAGCTAATAACATCAAAGCCAATGTATCTTTGGACTGAAGGGGAAGTTTATCACTCATTTAGCTATCACTCATTTGTATAGTCTAGGGGAAAACTGATCAGAAGGAAGTGAATTACTCTGAGCTTGAATTGAGGATTACTGGAGAGAAGTGCGGTGCTGTTGTGGGCCAGTCTCTTTACAATAATACATTAAGAAAAACAAAATTGCTGTGTTGCATATATGATTTTATAAAAATGCTGACGGTCATACTCCTGCACCTGAAGCAACATCCTCCCATGAGTACTCACATGGGCACAGCATGTGTATGAAACCTACATTTTGCCCCCCCGCTCAAAAAGTCACACATGACTCACCACCCACTTTTTAGACCACAAATGCCAATGAAATGATTTGTTTTATTTTGATGTAACGAGTGACACTGAGCACGTCTTTTGGCGTTATCAGTAGGTGTTTTGCAAGAGTTTTATTTAAAGACAAAACTTTTGAAAAAGTTGAGTTAAAGCGAGAAAAGTGAGAGACGGGCAAACGGTGCGAAAGAAACAGAGAGAGAGAGAGAGAAACTGAGCGCTAGAACAGGATATTTTGTCACTATGGTTACTGGCAGGAGATACTGATCTTGATTACTCTCGTTATTTTCACCCAGGTCAGTGTGACGGTACCACGCTCAGGGCAGCTGTGATATCTTTCCGCCAAAAATAACGTCGGTTGAATAAATGGGACTTCAAGTCTGATGAGCAGCACGTTCCATCTGTAAGGTAAGTTTCTCTCTGTGCTTTTTCCAAACTTTAACTTGTTTTGTAGTGTAACGGTGAACACCGTGTCTCTTTTGACTTGCCAAAATCAATTTCAGGTGATCATATAGATTAATATACGTGGACTAAATGTATGAAAACAGGGCATAGACTAGAGTCAGGAATTTACTCCACGTAAATGTCTCACACCAAAGCAAAAAAATGTTTTTAAATAAACATTTTTAAATATCGTTACAATCTTCATCCTTTATTCTTTCATGTAATTGAATTTGGCAGATCCAGAAAAACAAAATACTCGCTCACTTGTGTAAACGTGACATTACCAGAACCACATTATTAACTATCTTAAGAAACACACTTTTATAACACACACACTTCAAATTTGTGAAGTCATACAACAGCTTTTTGAAACTATTTAAACACAACAGTGTTCAATTCAATTCAATTTTATTTATATAGCGCCAAATCACAACAAAAGTCGCCTCAAGGCGCTTCATAGATACAGAGAAAAACTCAATAATCTGAAAAACCCCTATGAGCAAGCACTCTGACGACAGTGGGAAGGAAACAGTGTTGTTGCAGGTTTGTCCAAAATGCAATTGGTGGGCCAGGAAACATTTTTCTCCACCCCACCATGTGGTCAAACAGATAGATAGAATGATAAGGCAGTCTCAATGTACACAATGTGGCACTCCAACTGCCTTCAAGGGTAGAGTACCTTGGGGAAGCTCACTTCCTCATACCCAAGGCCAGCTAGTAACACCGCTTTTTTTTTTTAAACTTTTTTTTTGTGCTGTTTATGTGACAGAGTTGCAGCTGCATTGAGAATAGCCGTTGAGCAGAGGCATTGTTCACTGACTTCCTTCATGGCACTTTTAACCACACGCGCTATGCCAGAAACGTCCTGTGAGTCAAATTTAAATAAAGGATTGGAACAGTTTGGAAATGAACGTGACTTGTACTATTTTCCCTGGTAGTCACTTGAGACAGAAATATAAGAAATATAAAACCAACTTCATGTATGAAAAGGAAAATATGCTATATTAAAAAAAACAAACCACAATCATCTGTCAGAATAGAAAAGGAGAAGAGCTGCATATGCAGATAAAAAGCTAAATATGCTAACCTCACGCTGCGAAAAAGTAGCCAGTCGGGACATAAATGTACAACCTTTGGAGGCGTTCGTTTATCTTTTCGTAATGCATTATGATGTTGGCTCAGGATTTTATGAATCATCTGGGTCGATGGGACTGTGATGTTTGAAAGCCAAGGCTTTGTACCTGTGGCTGTTTACATGTGCTTTGCAGTTCCAGTCTGTCACCAGTTCCTCTCAGATATCAGGTGTATCTTTGTTTGCACAAAATTTCAAACCACAAGATGGCACTACAAAGCAAAAAATCTATTTGTACCTTACAGCACTTTGTTCACAGTGTTCACTGTTTCACAACTCATTGTTAACTCTTGCTGTTGACAGATCAGGTTTTACTTTTGTGAAGAACAAAATAGTCAATTTGCTTGCTTTGACTGTCCATAGCAACAGTTTTTTTAAAATATAACTTTATAATTTGTTAGAGTTTAGAAACACAACCTAAAAGATAATGTCAGCATTGCCATTTAAGATTTTTTTTCAATGATACTGCCATTTACGCAACAATTTTGTAGACTGTGAGGAAATTGACTTTGAGACATGCTCCTTTTACTTCCCTTTCGAAACACGGTCATGGATCTGTAACCCTCTATGTGTTCTCACACCAATGTTGACAATAGTTTCATATCATCATAAAGAAAGTCTCAGCAGTTCAGTTTATTTATTTTTTTCCTTTAATTTGTTACATAAAAAAAATAAGAAAAAAACTCAAAGCAATGTGTTACTCTCTGGATTGAAACCAAGTGTGATTGTATTTTTTTCTTTTATGCAGATACTCAATAAATTTAAGATGGGTTCTGCCGCCCAAACCACAACCGTCAACAGTACCTCTAACTGTACCACCCTGTATGCTCATCGGGAGTATGCCAAAATCCTCATGCCTCTTTTCTACAGCCTTGTGTTCTTTGTGGGACTGTTTGGTAACTGCCTGGCCCTCCATGTAATCCGTCCCAATCTGAAGAAGATAAACTCCACTACCTTGTACTCTCTCAACCTGGTCATATCCGACATCCTCTTCACCCTCTCTCTGCCTTTGAGGATCATCTACTATGCTTTGGGTTTCCACTGGCCACTAGGAGAAGCTCTGTGCAAGATCTCAGGCCTTATCTTCTATATCAACACCTATGCGGGAGTCAACTTCATGACCTGTCTCAGTGTGGACCGCTTCATCGCCGTGGTCTTGCCTCTGCGTTTTGCCCGACTCAGGAAAGTCAGTAACGTGCGCTACATTTGTGTTGGCGTGTGGCTGCTGGTCCTGGGTCAGACACTCCCACTGCTTTACATTAACATGTGCCACAATGAACCTGATGGCTACATCACCTGCATGGAATACCCCAACCTTGATAAAGTTCCACATATTGCCACTACACTGATTGGTGCTGTTGGCTTGGGTTATGTTATCCCTGTCGTCACCATCCTGGTGTGTTATTCTGTCTTATGCTCCAAGCTTCACTTAACAGCCAAGAACAACCATTTAACAGAAAAGTCCGGCAGGAGCCGCAAGGCCATCGGAGTGATCTGCTGCGTGTCCGTGGTGTTTATCGTGTGCTTCAGCCCCTACCACATTGACCTCCTGCAGTACATGATCCGCAAGCTGGTGTCGGAACCCGACTGCAGTCAGCTCACAGCCTTTCAGGTGTCACTGCACATCACCGTATGTCTGATGAACCTCAACTCCTGCTTGGATCCGTTTATCTATTTCTTTGCCTGTAAGGGCTACAAAAGAAAACTCCTGAAAATCCTGAAGGTGCACGTTAGCATGTCATTCTCCAGCGCAGTGAGAGTGTCTCCTGAAGGTTCCTCCAAGGATTTCCTCGACGGTAACAAGATCCAGCTAAACAGCTCAGTTACGGGAACAGTCACAGAACGAAGATCCCACTATCACGACTGATCTAAAGAATTAAGGGACAAAGAGCTGCACAGAATAAGAGGAATCTTTTTGTTTCATTTTGTTTTTCTCAGGGTGACTTTTCTCAAAGATAGTGTCTCAAATAAAGAGGTTTTAACCTTTAAATGGACTTTTGCATCATCACAAATGCCCAGCATCTGTAGACACTGGAAATGGATTGTTTTCCACAAGTGAAAGCACTCAAAGGACATTTCTGGAAATGTCTGAGAATTCAAGGAGGAACCTGTTGCAGAGCTAACATGGAGAATGGGAGGAAACCACAGTACCAATAGAGCCACACAGGTCTGGAAGGCACCAGCCTGGATTCAAAACCAGCAAGCTCACATCAAAGGGACTCACTTACAGTGATATTTCTATGAACTGAAATGTAAGGATGAATTAGATCTGACAGAAGTTTCATTCTCGTACAGAATCATGCTTCAATTGTCTTTTATTTTCCCCAAGTTTCGGTTCAGCTTTCAGGTGTAATAGTTCAGGGAAATCGACAGAGATTATTCCAACTCTCTGCCAACCTTAAATGTTTGCAAAAGCAACATATTTAATATTTTCCTGTTTGGATAATCATGCATTGTTATTTAGTGGCTTGAGGATCAGGTTGTTTTTTTATTGTTTGTTTGTTGTTTATTTAAAGAGACGTTTGCAACAACTTTAATTGTTCTGGATCTGTTTCTATAGTTATTATTTTCTGTCTGCGCAAGAGTTAGAGACGCAGTGGTTTCAAGTGCTATATGTTCCACCACCAGCAGTTTGTTATGTTTCTTGTTGAATTTTATGGTCTATATTTTAGGTTTAATGTGTGAACAACACACAGCATTTACCACATGTAAATAGGCCACAGGAACGGCCGTCATAAAACTGTATACCATGTGTAGTGATATATTTATAAAAGGGTACTAACGTGACCAAAAACCGCAGAAAAACTGCAGAAACTGCAGAAACTGCATTTCACCCTGTGGTTTGCTAAGTGATTAACATCTGTTAAGTCAGTCATAAAACTGTTTAGCTTTGCGAGCGAGCTCGTAGTACTCAACAAAAAATTTGGGGGCATTAGAAATCTTTAAATATGTAACCATTATACCGTACTTTCGGAAGGGTGCTAAACTTATTCTTTAGTATGATGATTTTAGAAGTACAACTAGTGCAATAAAGCCTGAGATAGACCAATCATCATACATGTGTGGCTGGAATTACCCGAAGAAACGGAAAGCATTGCAAAACTCTAAATTCACAAAAAAATAAAGTGTAGCTAAATCTGAAGATAGTTAGAAAACATTTAAAGGCCCTTGATCTTTGCCAGTCTTTAAGTTTAATTGATTGTAACTTTATAACACATTGTATTATTTACTTTAGTTCAATCTGTTACTTTTCTTATTGGAGTGGCTCTAACAGCATCATTTTCTTGGGGATTATAAAGTATTCTGATTCCGATTCTGCCCAGATACTGATATGCTTTTTTTCCTTTTTACTGCACCTTGTGTAACTATAATTGGTAAATGAAAACTCTTCACAGCATTGTTTTTGGAGCAATTGTCACTTCAATGCTTGACATGTTTATGCAGCACTGTACATAATAAATGACTTGTAATAATTATTAATAATGTTTTGGATGTGACTGAGATTGTTTTTATATTGTGGTTATATCCGCTTCTTGCTGGATGCAAACAGCAGCTCTGTTTATAGTATATTGAGTCACCACTACGAATCGTTCTTAGATTTAACACCCATTTCACGTTATCTCACAACACCATCACCTTCCCACTGAACTAGAAGGCCATGAAGGGATGTCAGGTCTGGTTATTAGAAATTCAGTCAACACAGATGTGTTTTATCAGTGAAGCAGCAGAAATTGTGCACATATAAATTTCAATATTTGAGGTAAGAAAGAATTATAAAATATAACAGAATATTGCATGCATCCAACAATATTTTTAAGGACATTGAGAAATGAGCACTAGTTTAACTAATTTAACTGGTTAAGTAAGCCAAATGCTTGGTCTGAGGTTTGAGAAAAAAGAACAGTGGTGTGGTGGAATGCAAACTCTCACCTCTTGCATAGCAGCCTGCACCCAACAGTACACCACCATGAACTTATACCTTTCAGCACAAAGTTCAGAGAGCGTCTACTGTAAGCTGGCATCAAAAGGTCTGAAAAAATATGTGCGAGGATTTATTTTTACTGCCTTTGCATTTTGGAAAGGTGTAAACTTTTTGCTTTTAGTTTGAATTACACATGTGTTGGGAGACTGTGACAGGACTTTTGGTCGGTTCAAGCTACTGAAGACAGTTTGAACTTTAGTTCTAGAATTTGATCTTATATTTGTTTACATATCTTGCTATCAGGTTGCACAATTCTGTCTAATTTGCTAAGATTGTGAAACAGTGGCCTTTTTTGGCTGTTGTTTAGAACAGAACAGAACAGAAGGAATATTTCTGAAGGAGGCTTTGATATGCGATTGCAAAGAAACGGAGCACAATGTTAAAAAAAGACTAACTAGTGAGAAGTTCAGCAGCGTTTAACGCTTATGTGTCACTATAACATATGCCAGGATGACAGCAAACCCACAGAGCAAAACACATGGCACCATTTACAAAGTACAGTACTGTGAAGAACTTTGAACTTTGGAACGCAAGGGGTTTGTAGCACTTATTACAGAAAAATTTTATATATATGAAAAAATGCTAAGAGTGCCATTAAGTGAAGAAATCAGAGGTACTAAGAGTATCCAAAAACTGTGCCACTGATTTGTAAAAATTAGCAGTTGGGTGGAATTGCTATCAAGAAATTTACAAGTATGTAAATATAAAAGACATCAAAACATCAACAGAAAAACTTAAAGCATCTTAGTATTTGTATTAAGAAAACCTGGTACTCTTGTTACAGAGCTGCCATCCCTCTGACACATTCACCACCCACATTTAGTGTGTCACACAAACATTTGCACTTACACATTTTAATGTCAATGTGTCTCATTTCCTGTATCACTTGATTTCTCACAAATAATCAAATGATAAAAGATAAAACGACACCATTTTAGGGTATATATAAAAGGGGATGTTGAGCTCTCAAACAATAGTTTTCAAAGGCACACTGCCATCATTTAACAAATCACAACATGATCACATTAGATAAAGCCTGGTAAGTTACGCTGAAGACAGATTTGCAGTTGTAGTGTCAGAGCTAGCACGAAGGTGCTGCACTGAGAACATGGTTTATAGCTTCACCTGGATGTAATCTGATCCACAGATCTGTCAGCTGTGCTGTTTGAAAACCAAACAGCAGCGATGTACAACGATAAAAACCTGAACTCACGGTTTTGTCTCCTCTGAGTAGGCTGACATTAAAAGTACCCCAACAAGTAATTAACGTAACTTTTCGCTGTCACCTCTGTACAAACCTGATTTAATCTCTAAGCTGCAGGAAGTTTGCTGGTGTGGTAGCTGTGCGAAAAGGAGCAAAAAAGTGAAGCTGTGGTAAAAAATACTTGAAACTAGACAAAATACTTGGAATGTTATCTGATGACATTTAGTCACCAGATAGAAATTAATCAGCCATTTCAGTTAACCATCTACGTCACTGTCATACGTACATGCAAAACAGCATCTTTCTTTCTTGGATTTTACGCCTTTGGTTATACAAAACAAGATATGTTCTCTTGTTTTGTTGTTAATTTTTTCATAGGTCAAATTATGTTACTGGAATGTTTTGCATTTACATAAGAGTTAAGTATGAGTCAGAATATATGCATATATTGACATATATGCATTTTGACACTGTTATCTTTGTACGTTTAGTTCAACGGGAACATGTCTCTTGATGATAGTGTGGTTTCTTCGTTTGCAATAAACACATATTTCACACATATAATTGTCAGCTGCTTCATCGTGCTTTGTTTCTGTCACTTATATTTCTCGGAGGGGCTGACAGTATGAACATCATGTCAGAATCATGGCCATAGGTCAGATATTTTAAATATGGAGGTTTTTGAGACAAACCTTTATAATAATCCCAACTAATACATGGAAAATTGACAGGTAATGAATGGGTATATAGTTAAAGTTTAGCATGGTGCTGCATGGTGGTGGCTATGCTCTAGGTGTGAATTTAAGTGTAAATGATTCTCTTACTCTGTGTTAGCACCTTGGTAGACGCGCAACATGCTCATGGTGTGTCCTGCCTCTCACCCAGCAATGGCTAGGATAGGCTCCATGATGACTGATATTAACTAATCTTTAATAATTACAGAGTTGATGTTACTTTGTCACATGTTGTTGTGACATAAAATGATTAATTTATGAATTAGAAATTAATTTACATGTGTGTGTGATAACAACAATATTCTAATGAAACTGGCACAAGTAACATTTTATAGACTCTTGTGGATTTTTTTTTATAATTCTAAACATTACTTTTATATGACTCGAGCGTCATTACTGTTTAGTGTGTGTGAAAACGAGAAACACCAAAGCTCACCAAAAGGGAAACAGGGAGTCCCACACAGGCCTTCTAGCACACTGCAGTGGGTCTGAAAGGGGGGCCTGATGATGAAAGTGCGCATGTGGGAGCCAGAGTGCTTCTTGGACAGGGTTGAGACAAACCATAATTCACTCTCACATTTAGACTCATCAGCTGATAAAGTACGTCATAAGATCGACCTTTTTGGTATGAGCTATCACTGCTAACCACTACACCACAGCGCAGCTAACTAATGTGGTCAAAGAAAGAACCTTTTCACAATGTTTGCGTACAAAACCCTTCAACTCTGCGCCACCTTGAACAAATATTGAGTTTGCGAATTCTTAAATTTATAAAGCAGTTACTACAAATAAAATATGATATACTGATATAATGCTTTCTTTAATGTAAAAATAATATATACGTTCCGCAGTGAATAAATAAGCCACGGGCTGGGTGTGTTGTAGTATTTCTTTTCAGCCTCTAGAGGGCAGTGTAAAACAGCGTAAGAGAGATGGTGATTAACCAAATAAAATGTGCTTCTCAGAGGGGCCATATATCAATTCTAAATGTAGACGGAGGCTACAAAAGAGGACCTAATAATCTTTTTATTGAAATATTACTTTTATGCTTTTACAAAAAATGGCATAGTATAAAATAGATAGTTTAAAAAGAGCAAAGGGAGAGGGGGAGAGGTAGTTGATGTCTGGTTATAGAGAAAGCATAAATACACTCCTTGTTGCTTATACAGGTGAATAATTAAACATGTACTATAGAGTTGAATATTGACGCAACCACATGACAAGTATCAAAGAGAGGAAAACATCACACAGACTGTTGTCATAACAACATATTGCAATGAACACAAAGTACCATCTGGTGCGAGATTTTTTTTAAGACACATCAAGAGGACAAGCCGATAGATAATTATTTCCCAGGAATAAGACTTAGACTGAATGAGCTGTGATCAAAATGCAATACTAAAAAAAAAAAAAAAAATCCACTGACAATAAGAAGAAGTTTAGCATCAAAGCTGACAAATCTGCACGGCACAATTATGAATGTGCATCGGGGCAACATGTAAAACCTTTTGTGGGAGCCGCAAAAAAGAAAAAACCTGTGGTGAGTGATGGAAACGGTCTATTTTAAGCCCTGCGAATGAACCAGCGAGGACGTGAACAAAAGAAGTTTTGTTCTCACAAAGTTCTTTGAGTCAAACGTCCCAATTGATAGTTTTTACCACCTCACACACACACACTAATCAGACGCATTAATCTGTATTCAATCCGGGTCCACGCTGACCTTGAGCGTTTCACCTGAGCTATGCGCTTTGCATCCATTAAGCCGATGTGGTGTAAAACCATCTCCCAGCATCAGCGTGAAGTGTCTATTACCACCGTCTTATTTCCTGTTTATATGGCAACTGCCTCAACATCCTGTTTTTAATTACTTCTCTCCAGCAGCAGATGCTTCTCGCAGCAACCTGCTGTGGATTACTCCCCTGAGAACTAATGTGCTGTGACAGACCCCACTTTTCCAATCAATAACTCGCCCTAAATCTGCCATCTCTCTGCCTGCCAAACACACTCCCACTTCTAATGGCACATCATTTTCTTTAAGGGGGTGTAATTGCAGACTGTGGAAAGCTGTAGTCCATTTCTGTTCCAACCACGCAGACAGTGTAAAGGAATCTAAAAAAGAGCAGAAACTATAACGCACGGGCGACACAGGAAGTGAAGGGGGCTTTACAGCCTCTTCTGTCTCGCCACCATTACAGTCAAATTCAAAGAGAAAGTATTCACTTCCCTGTTTTGGCCGTGAGAGCTTGGTATTCTGACATCTTCATGAGCTCCATTTGGCTTCATAAACCTGCTGTTGTGAGCTTGTCAAGATGTTTGTTTGATTTTTGTGGTAAGTGCAGCCTTTTATTGTCCAGGCAAAGCTACCTGATCTGTTTCACTTTTAAGCGTTGTAGTATTGGCAGACGTGTTTCATGGCTACTTTGTACAGTATGCGTCTTTTGGTGCTACTAAAAATCGATTCACATGATATGTTTGTTTCATTTACATCTTTCTTTCATCTAGATTATGTCTAGTTTGCTGTGGGATATCTAGATTGATAGATATTCTATAATTTTATTTACATACAATAAAAAAAAGTACGTAGAGTGGAGTACAGTAGAAAAGAAATGGGTAAATGTCAAACAGAAGTCACATGATTTCTTATCAAGATACTAAATCACTTTCTCAGGGATACAAATCACACTTCCACATTTGACTCTAACCACAGATTGCAGTTCAATCAAACATTTGCTTTCATTTTTTTCTTTTTCTGTTTATTTGGGTGATTTTTGTTGTCTGCAGTTATAGAAAAGCTCTCTGTTTCGCATGGTACAGCTGCACCGCATTTTAAAAATATATATTCAAATTAACAGCTGCTGCTGTCGTCTGTAACATAAAAATGTCCATATTTAGAAGAAGCCACCATTTCAACTGAGTGTCACTTCTGTAAATCTAATTGTGGTCGTTTTAATTCCCGTCTAGAGCAGACGGTTTGATCGTGCTAAACGTTAGGAAAGACTCTTAGTTTTACATTTTTTCTAAGTTTTATGTTTTGGTCTTTCTTCTCAGATTTTACTCGTGTGGATGGATGAGGAACAGATTCAAAACAATCCATATATGTAAGTTATATTTTGAGTTGTTTGACAGATTATTTTGGTCATAACTGTCACTCTAAGAATTTGTAGCTGATTGAAATTATTCAGCTCCATGTAGCTGATGTACTTTTAGGGATCCACAAGTGGTAGCCAAAGTACATCCTTTTCAGTACCAAAACCTTTTTGGATGTGTCATACGAATATTAAAAGCACCACAGCTGCATCAGACATGACCACATGTGATATATAAACCGAAATGTTGAAACAAAGGTACTAATGAATGACAACTGAAACAAACGGCATTGTCTTTCAGTATGACAGTGGATCTAAACTCCACCAACATGTCTACAACTATGAAGCCAGAGCAGGGACCAGTGGAGTACCGCATTTCAGGCCTGATTTTCTACTGCTTCATCTTCGTCATTGGAGTCATGGTTAATTTCACAGCTTTATGGGTGTTTGCCCTAACCACAAAGAAAAGGAACTCAGTCACTATCCACATGATAAACGTGGCACTGGTAGACCTCACCTTCATCCTGCTGCTTCCTTTCAGAATGGTATACCACCACCAGGACTACTGGCCTTTTGGAGATCTTTTCTGTCGAATCATGGCAGCCTTCACCATTTTCTACCCTTGCATGGCTTTGTGGCTGTTTGCCCTGATTAGCACTGACCGTTACATGGCCATTGTCCAGCCAAAGCACGGCAAGGAGCTGAGAAACGTCCCGAAGGCTGTGGTGGGCAGTGTTGGGGTCTGGGTCATGACCATGGGCAGTTCTGTACCATTGCTCTTCTCCCAGAAGGACCCTGACCAGGCCTCTAACTTCACCACCTGCATCAAGATGCAAGACATCATCCACATGCGCCATGACAACCCCGTCAACTTTGTGCGACTTATCTTTTTCTTCCTCGTCCCCATCTGCATAATGATCGGCTGCTATGTCGTCATTGTGGACAATCTGATTCATGGCCGCACCTCTAAACTCAAACCTAAAGTAAAGCAAAAGTCCATCCGGATTATCATCACACTTATTATCCAAGTGCTGGTGTGTTTTGTGCCTTTTCATGTGTGTTTGGTTGTCCGTTTGCTGGGGAACGGCATCGACGGTGGGTATAGCACTTGGGCAGTCTTCACCACATTCCTCATGAACCTAAGCACAGTCTTGGATATCATCCTGTACTACATCGTCTCCAAGCAGTTCCAGGACAGGGTGATTAGCGTGATTCTGTACAGGAACTATCTGCGGAGCGTGAGACGAAAGAGCAGGCACACGCACACAGGCAGCATCAGATCAATGAGCAATATGACCAGCGCAATGATATGAAACAGCCACAGTCATTTCAAAATGGGACTGCAATACGTACTGTGAGCACTTTTGCACAATGTAACACTGAATGCATCGCTGTGTACATGGTTCATTATCAAAGGAATCAAGAACTTGCAATTAATTTCCAAGGTGTAATTTACACTCACAGTATGGGAGTGCTGCTGTTGTGGCAAAAAACATCTGTGTTCAGAGCTGATTGACTCACCCATGAGACTTGAGATGGTGTTTTTCTTCTTTTTTTTGTGCATCTTTGCTTTAGCAGACAAAGCACGAGTGGCTGTGTCTCAGGTGTGATGTGTGCAGGTGAAAATAAAGCTCACATTCATTTAAGACGTAGCACACAGTATCTCAATGTCTGCTTTGTTGTACGTGAGCATTGAAACTCTTTTCAACCTACTCGCAGCATCACTGACAGCCTCCACGGGGGTGGGGGTGGGGGGGGACAACTTACAGGAAACAATGGTGGGTTTTACATATTGTCTCTTTGGTTTGTTATCGTGCGGTGTTTTGAACTTTACCTCTGCAGCACCTCAGTTTCTGCAGAGGCGAAGTGAGCAAATGTTGCCATTGCTGCGGCATGATGTCATGCACACAAGGAGCAAAGTTTTTTTGGCTGATTTTATATTTAGATTTGCATAGAAAAAAGGGAAAGTCCAACCTGTGGTGCAGCACATACAACACACCACAAGTTTTGTTAAAATTGCTGTAAATTTATTGGCCAGGTGATGGCAGCATGGCACAGCTACAACAGATCCCATCAACCCAGGAGAGCAGGCCATCACAGTGTTTTCTTGACTTTTGTCAAGCAGACTGTGCAAGATTTTTGTTTTCTGTTTTAAAAGTCTTTTTCTTTGTTCATTGGGGGATTTCATTTATTACATCCAGCTTCACAAAAGCCAACACTTCAGTTTTTCTTCCCCGTGAAACAACCAGTGCGCCTCATTTACACAGAAGTCCTAGCAGCTTTCCGAAACAGGAATCAGAGCAAAGCGTGTTTATGGTGCAATGTGAATTGTATTGATTGGATGTTAAATGATTCAGTTGCTTGGAGTGCATTTACAGTAACATGCTCGAGAGATGTCAGGGAGGCTATTCGGTAGATTTAAAACCACCTTAAGCTTAAAAGAGAGAACCTTTTTTTCTACACGGAGATACTTCAGTGTCAGGTCTCTGCCGCAAAAGTAATTTATTCTCAGTTTCTTCTTCCTCAAATGACAGACAAGGAAATGAGTTAGACGTGAATGCGTGACAGTTCTGTCTCTGCCAAGTGGCTGTAAGTGGAAGAAATGTGACGATTTTGATAGGTGTCCAGCCCAAACATCACTAAGAATTGATTTTGGTGTGGCCAGTTGTTAAAATAATTGAGTTATTGTTTCTGTCGCGACAACGCAATCTTAATTGGGTCAGACAGTAAGCCAGTGTAGCTGGGTAACAGTGTAGTGGCGCTTTCGATTACACAGTAAGAGCACCCTGTGGTGCAATCACAGATAGCAAAGTTATTGCATAGCTGATCACTTGCAAACACAGGCTAAATATACCGCATTAAACTGTGAAAGTCTTTAAAATGTGCCTGATTCTGTTAATGTTCTGATTGATTTTTCACAAGCAAGTCCAGCTGTATTCATACTCAGAGTAGTAAAAGGATAAACTGCACTGATGGTCCACGTGGCATTCGGCTGATTGGTTAACAGCATTCAGATGAAGAAGAGGCCAGTGTGTATGGCATGAAAGGGTTAGATTTACACTGTCCTAAATAAAAGAAGGCAGACATCAAAATTTCCAATCTCGTGGAATTCTGGGAACTGCAGTTCATCATATGGTGATAGGTTTATTGGCTGGTGGACTACAAGTGGATTTATAAGGGAGAGGTCAAAGGTCAAATGAAACATCAGAGGCTTGTCTATGTGTCCCACCTGTTAGACATCAAAGACAAACCAGCCACAGTGCTCACAGCAACTGGCATTTAAAACAATTAAGTTTCCTGTCAAGTCCCTGTGATGAATTATCCGGAAGCTTTACCCGCTGTAATTCTAAATCTTCCCAACAAGTGCCTTTGTTGTAGAGAAATTAATGAAAACAAGATTGTCTTTCATAGGAGCTGATCTAACAGCGCAACAGCCAGCTGCTCTTCTTTGGGAATAAAAACAGTCAGCATTAAACACAGCTCGCACAAAATACTTTTTTTTTCTCCTTTCTCTTTTTTTTCCCACCACTCGTGTGGAAAACAAATCAGGCAGCAGGCGCAGTGGCCATCTGTTTTGTTATTTGATATGTGTGAATACATGTTGTAATGACTTTGTTTGTGAATCACTCTGCGCGGCAGAACACACGAGAGCTCTCGAAGTGCTGGAGTGTTCAAAGCTAATCATATAATTGGACACAATAGTCGATGACAAATGGAGACGCTTGGAGCCAGCCAGCTGGGGAAGTGAATATGTAATCATTGTAAAATCATATCATTTTTGCATATTTGAAGACAGCTTAATAGAGTTTGCGTGTCAGCACACTATCAAATGATGATCAGAGACAGTGTTGCTGCATTTGTTTTTCAGATTGTGCTTTTTTTATATATTTATCTGTGCCGTGATTAAAAGTGTTTCTAAAGAGCTGGTTTCTGATGCTGCGTGTTCATGTGTGTTCCATTAAATCCTGAAAGTCAAAGCAGATCTGGGAGAAAATACTCCTCTGAATTAGGAGAAAAGAAGGAGTAGTTAGAGCTACAGTTGTACCGTAGCCTGGGGGGGATGCATGGAAAGATTGTGCATTTAAAATATTAACAAAATTCCAATACAACTAAAATATATTCACACAGAGACACCTGCACGCTATGTGCTGTAAAGAAAAATGTGAGAAATGGACAAACTGCTGATTAGAAGTATTGTTCAGTTGTGGAAATGCGCTTTTTCTGCCACTCCATTTACTAGTAGTTAAAATTAAAGCCACCAAACCAAACGAAACACTTTGGTTTACTTTGGTTTTTTTAACTGTCTGACAAATAATGTAAAATAAAATGCTGACTGACTTCAAATTAATGCCGAAACAAAGGTGCGGAGTGGATTTTGTAACAGTTTTGTTTGAAGCAATGTTTTCCACAGTTTTACTATATACCATCAGTCTTCATATTGTTCCCATTAGAGAGCACAAGGACATGAAAGAGGGCCTATAATGTTATATAGATACTGTACACATCCAGCCTCAGCTGGGCCTCCTCATCTACTGTATGGCATTAGCAGCCAGCAGCTGCCTGCATTTACATCGTTTAGCGTTTCTCTCAGGGCACTTTAATACGCTGAACCTCTCCCCTGGTAAACTTTACAATAGGATGTTGAAGGATACTTCTGGACTGCCATAGGAAATGAGAGGCACATGTGCGTGGATGTAGCGGTGCAACGGCGGATTCCCCCCTGCGATGCTGAGCTTAAGGGCTGCACAATGAGACTAATGGATTCCTTTTGTGGACAAAACTAGGTTAAGCACATGAGCTATTGTTTTTATCTGTATTTGGACGTGCAATCATATCTTATGAAGAGCAGGAACTGTGTGAGGTATGCACATTAGCAAGGATAGCCTCTCAGAGGTAATCTTTTCCTCTGGCAACTGCAGTCTACTTCTGCATTGTCTTTCGTCTCTATTAAAAGGAGATAATCTAGTGCAAGAGTTTCAAATGCTGCTAAACTGCCTCCAATTGACCCTCTATTTAGCACAAGAAGGAGAGGAAATGTATGGCCTTGATTACAGCTGTGTGTCTATTTTAGCAGACTGTTCTATTGCTGATTCACACACACGGCCAGCCACCATTAAGAACCATAAATAATGTAAAGGCCCTCATCTGTGTGTGTGTGTATTTTCCAACTCCCAGCTCAGCTAAGTGGTTGAATGGAAACCTTGGCCTCCTCCTTGTCAGGTTCTCCGTAGATCTATATAAGATTTGTTCAAAGTCATTGTAAAGAATAACATTCACAACACTGTTCTGCTCCATGCACATGGCAAAGTTTTTTAATTCTATTAGGTGAAGTGGAATAGGAGCTCCAGTGGGGACTGTGTCAGGTTGTGTTAATATTTAATCCGGTCTCACTTCGGGTTCCGCATGATCCACGGTATTGTCAAAGAAGAATGAGAAAGCAACATTACAAGGCGGATAAAAAGACATGGATAAAGACACCGTAGCTCCAGGACACGGCCTCACTCAGGATGTAGTGTTGTGAAATGCTTGTTGAAGACACTATTATGAGATGCCACTTGCATCTCTCCTCTCTGCAGAGCTCCTTGCCATAGTGCAGGGCTCTCTGAACAGAAAGCAATATTATGGCAGCTAATGCTAATGCACTTATTTCAGCTGATGTGCATCTAAAGAGAGCTGACTGACAAATTGAATGTACAAGCAGGTAAAGAGGAAGAGAAGAATAAATGTGCATAAAAGTAGGATGCCGCATTAGTCTATAGTCTATAGTCTGTGTGTGTGTGTGTGTAGGAAAGAGGGAGAAACAGAGGGAGGGATGAAGGAATGGAATGAAGAGCGAGGGAGGCCTTTCACTTCCTCTGTGTGCACATCACGTCTCCTCTCCCTGAGCTCAATTACAGGATTGATACTCAGAGAGGAAACTTCATCATGTCGTACAGATGTCTTCACTGGGAAAAAGAGGGAGACGATGCATGTTGTCATTTAACGTGACATGGCCTGCGCTCATTGAGAACAAACAAAATGAGAAACAGTCGGACTATAGATTTCATTAAAGGCTAATAATAAATATGGAGCACTGGTGTAGAGAGGGAGCCCGCGGAAGGAAGACTGGAGGCTACTTACTGACGGAAGAAGGAACTGGAGGTTGGCATGCCTGTTGGATAGAGAATTTAACAATTCTGCTGAGTGAATTAATCGAAAACAATATCTTGTAAACAATAATACTCTTTCAGCGAGCCATTCTGCTCCATCATAGTAAACATTTTTTATAACCCAGACAGCTCTATAAAGTGCTTTAGGCATCATTGGGCACAACCATCATTAGTCAGTGCCTGTGTGTAAATCTGAATAAAGTCACTGGGCTGGTGATGCAGCGCAGACACAAGCCCATATCTATTTTACACTGTTTCATTTCAAACGTGACACAAGCAGAGAACACACTCCACAACAATGGCCATGTTTTGCTTTAATTTGATTAGGTTTTGTCTCAGCAAATGCCAAGTCCTGTTTTGCCTCAAGAACATATCTCTTAATCACGTTCCATCCAGGCTGTGTCTTTCATCTAAATCTCACAGCCGTGGCTCACACCCAACTTTATTTCGCTGAAAGGTAGGGGGAAAAAAAGCACATACACACACACATATACACAAATGTACCAGCAGGCACACGCACACATCCAACAAGGGGGAATACAATGACAAAAGCCTAGCTCTCATCTCTGTCATATAAAGTGATGTTTTGTGTTTAGCTGTGTGCAATAGAGGTGTGTGCGTGTCTGTGTGTGTGCTTGCCTCTGTGTGTGTGTGTGTGTGTGTGTGTGTGTGTGTGTGTCTGCAGGGCTCAGATCCATGTTGTTTGGTTTGCTTCTCCATTAAGAGAGCTGTAAAGGAGAGGGAACAGATGGCTGCTGGCCCGCTCTGTCCTGCATCCTCTCACAACTGCCACACTTCCTGTGCGTCCATTAATCTTCTCTCACTAGTCCTGCAGCACAACTTTATTAAAACAACTCAGGAGAGAGCGAACAACAAGCCCGCACAGCTGTCAGGAGCAAAAGACAGAACCATTCGTCCACAGAAGAACGGCCTCGGATTTCGAGACGCATCTGTAAAACAGCTCAAGTAGAATCTGGTTCGCTTTGAAGCAGGCTCTGCAAAGCGAGCGCTGCTGTAGAGGCACAATAAATGCTCATTAGAACGCAGCTGGAACTGCTGTTGTTGCAGAGTTCATTGGCATAGTTTGTCAAACTTAAACGTGTACGGCTCTAGCTCACTGTCTGGAACAGACTACTGTTTTACTCCACTCTAGAAGCTTGTGGGAAATGTGGTGTACTGGGCACATTTTGGCCTGAGCTAAAGCTTTTTGAGCACTAATAGAATGCCTGTTACACATTACAGTAAATTATACATCTGAACTTCTTAATGCGATCGTGCGCGCTAATTCGCAACAAAAATGTGAGTCGTTTTTACAGTAACCTTTCCACATAAATGCGTAAATTCTATAATCACACAAGGCCTAAATTTGTTGTCTTCCCTGATTGTTTTCTTGGAATGAAACAAATGTGCAAATTTGCATGTTTGGCTCTGTCATGACAAATTCTAACAACGTAGCTCTATTTGGCCCTATGCTCTGTGTCCATAACAGTCAGTGGGTAAATTGAAAAATCAATTCCAATTTAAATTATTGGAATAAAGGACTCCAGGAGCTGAGGATATAAAAAAAAAGAAAGAAAAAAAAACGTCTTCTAGATCCCCTTTAATTGGAAAGTCATTTCTTCGGGGTATTCTAATGGTTCTGAGGGAAGATTGCAAAATAAAGTTGATGAGCTGGGGGGAGGTTAATAGTGTGTGCTTGTGTTTGTGTGTGTTCTACTGACCCTGTGTGTTTTCTTTGCTCTGCCAGCCAACGTTCAGTCTTCCCCTCCCTTATGACAGAGGCATCAAATGAAGACTAATCCAGTGGGCTCACACACACTCAGACACACACTCCCTTATGCCTGTGGTCACTCGTCTCATCCGTCTGTTATCTGGGGGAGTGTCGGTGGCTCTTGGGTCAAACTAAATTAACCATCCCTCGCTCACAATTGTAAAAATGTAATTGACTTAATATAACCAACCCTGGTGATTTGGATACTGTGTCTGTGAGTAATTTAGCAAGAGCCTGCAGATGCCACTTCAGATATGAATCACTATTGTATTGATATTTCAGGAAAAACAGTGGCCGCTTAAAAAATGCATCTGTTCCAGGGCCAAAAACTCGTTATTCCACAGTAACAAATGATACTGGTTCAATGTCCTGAAAACACAGGTGAAAAAGTCAGACAAGATAAGATGTGAATCATTTACATCACTTTCCGAATTTCTAATTTATTCATAAACTTGAAATGGATCTACAAAAATTCCCTTGTGCAAATATATCTTCTTATTTCTAAGCCCATTGTTTGCTTTACTTGCTCTATGTCAGTGACAGATGATACTCATGTTAAGTTTTAGATAAATAAACCAAATCATTAATGATATGAATGCAGGAGCATGAAAACTAATAGGTATTAAGGCTTCAGCCACACCAAACAATTCAATGAGTTAGGAATTGTTTCTCTCACTTAAAGACATAAATCACCAACTGGAGCTACTTTGGTAACCTACTACTTTTCTCATCTGAGAATATTAACCACATCACAAAGGGAATGTTGATGAATTTAGAATACCAATTTAGAATTACGTTTTAACCCTCAGTGTATTTACAGAATTAAACCTTTTTAAACATATATATTACCATTTTAGCAACATAAACACCAACATATGATACATGTTTCAAGTTTTCAGGGCCCCAGTATTGAAACTAAATATTGAGTTCGTGATACAGTTCCCGACTTTTTTCTTGAACAAACTAAAGTAAAAGGAATGACTGTGTCCATCATACGCTACT